GCTCTCTTATCTTGTCATTTCTTCCATTGGCTTTATCTTCTCTCCACTCAAGGGCAAGTTTCAGAGTCTCTTCTGTCATCCATTTTGGTCTTCTCTTCCTTTCTTGTCTTTTTAGTGATCTCTTGCTTTCTTCACGGATAATGTTCTTGATATTCTCCCACAGTTCTTCTGGTTTTTGGTCATTGGTGTTCAATGCATCAAATCTATTCATATGTGTGTGTGTGTGTGTGTGTTGTTGTTGTTGTTGTTGTTATGTGCTGTCGAGTTGGCCCTGACTCATAGCGACCCCTCCCTGGGTTTCCGAGGCAGTATCACTACGGAAGCAGGATTGCCCAACCTTCCTTCCGAGGAGTGTCTGGTGGGTTTGAACCGCCAGCCGTCTGGTTAGCAGGCAAGTGTCTTAGCCACTATGCTACCAGAGCTCCTATATATACATATACATATACATATATATAGAAATCTTAGGAAAATGGCTCACACACTTAAAGAAGCTGGCAAGTCCCATGTTCTTGGATCAGATGTGAAGCAGGAGGCTTTTCCTAACTCACACAGCTGCAGGGGCTAACAAGCTCAAGGTTGGCAGGCAGTATACTGGCTATTGACTCCCAGTGAATGATGAATCCAGGATCACCAGGCCAAATGGTGGATTGTTCACTCACAGACAGTTGTAGGCAGCACAACAGGATCCCGATCCACAGAAGAGTGTCCTAGGATGTCCTTAAATATATTGGAAGTAGACCACACCCCTAGCTCCCTTTCAGCCGATTGGCTGCTCAAAACATATACATTCGATCTCATCATGGGAATAACCCCCATCACAACTGCTTCAACTTCTGAGAATTGTGGTCCAGCCAAGTTGACACACAGCTCCAACTATCACAAGCAGCAATTTAAGAACTGCAAAAACTTGTTTCCTCAAGATTAGATACGTCTTTTTATAATGTTCTTTTGTATCTCAGAGATTGATAGATATAAAAATAGTTCTAGCAAAATAAATACAAATTAAAAAAACCTAGTTTCCTTTAGGGCAATCATAAACCTAGTTTAGCTATGGCCAATAGTGACCTTTTTCTTAGCTTCTGTTGAAGAGAGTGACACTAACCCTAAAATTATTTACTCTGTACAGATGAATCAGGGTCATTTGTTCTGAGCTGACTTAACTACTTAGTAATACAAAGTGAACTTATTGGCCCACCTATTGTATAGTGCCTGCAGCACAAGAGAAGAGATTTGTCTATTTAGATGAGTTGTTAATCTACTTTGTACAAGGTAAAGAAAATTAGAATGAGAAGGCAGACAATGGCAGTGGAACAGCCTGCACACTTTGTTGATTGACATGGCAAGGATGCAAGAGTTTCCCCTAGGAAAATAGACACCTTGCCTTCTATTGCAGAGGATTGGCCGCTAGTCTGTATGGTAAACTGCTAACAGTGGGACCTGCTGGTAATAGTGGTGCAGGAGGTTTGGGCAGATGGATTGAAGAGGTGGAGCTGGTGCACAATATCCCAGGACAGGCCTTTTAAGTGAGGATGAGCCCTTAGAAAGAGCTAGCATTTGAGGGCTTACCATTCAGAGGACATCAACAGCCTATCAGTGTTGACCAGAGAATGAAGGACAATCAAAGTGCCCTGCCAGTTGGTATAGAGACCTTTGTTTCTCTCCTTCCATCAAACCCCATCTCATGAGGGACCCATAGCTAGGTAACATTGTCCAATACTGAAATTCAGAATCTGAGATTAGAGATTTTCCTATAAAATAATATCACCATTTCCCCTTATTGTCATTCAGTTAAATAGTTCTTTCCAAAGGAAAAGAACATTAATATCTGGTATAGAACTTAACTTGGTAAGTAGTGAAACAAATGAAGAAAGTATTGGCAATTCTTGGTTTACCAAATTGGATTTGGTTTTAGTCAACGCTATTAAATTTTAATCTTTCTCCAAAGAAATTCACAAATTACCCCTTGCAGCTTCAAATCATATCAGGTTAGTGTCTAATTCATTATTATTATTAATAATAATAACAGTTTTTTGGCTTTGTTTAATTATAATTATGTTTTTCCTTTAGAATAAAAGAACATGAAAAAGAAAAAGAAAGAAAGAGAAAAGAGGAAGAAAAGGATGCTGAGGAAATTAAACAACAGAATGCACTGTATGAAATAGAAATGAGAAAAAAACTGGAAAAGAAAAAAGAAGAGATATACGAAAGCAGGCGTAGATTTTTTGTGAGTTGAAAATGTAACATCTTTTCAAAAAATGTACAAAGTAAAATGCCTGACTTTTAATTTTTAAAGAACAGAAGTGAAACAGAGTAGAAAACAAGTTGCTATTGTGTTTCTAAGGGAATACATTCTTTTTTGGGGGAGAGCTATATTTGCTATATGGAGCCCTGGTGATGCAGTAGTTAAGTGCTTGGCTGCTAATTGAGAGGTTGGTGGTTCAAACACCCAGAGCCTCTGTGAGAGTAAAGACCAATGATCTGCATTCCAACCTAGAAAAGCCTGTGTGGCAGTCCTACTTTTTCACATGGGGTCACTATGAGTTGGAATCAACACACCTAACAACAACAACAAAATATTTGCTATAGTTTTATGTGTGTATGCTTTCATGCATGAAAAAGAAAGATGAGAAAAAATGAGACTTTTTCCAAAATGAATTTATTATCCTTAAAGTGTGAGTTATTGTCAGGAATGAATGGGGATGACTTATGTTTGGTGTCTTCTGTGATATTAATATGTGCTCAATAAATGTTCCCAGTTTTAGGGGGAAGGTGTCTAGTTTCTCACCATTATCTGTGATGTTAGCTTTAGGTTTTTTCTGTAAGTTCTTTATCAAGTTGGGGAAACTCTGTTTCTAGTTTTTATTATGAATGGGGGTTGAATTTTGTCACATGGTTTTTCCTGGACCTATTGACATAACCATATGATTTTTTTTTCTTTAGCCTGATGATAATAATTGCATTAACTAATTTTTGAATGTTGGACCAGCTTTGCATACCTTGGATAGATCCCACTTGGTCAGGATGTATCATTCGATTTATACATTGTTTCATTTGATGGCTAATATCTTGTTGAAGAATTTTGTATCTATGTTCATGTCTGTAATTTTCATTTCTAGTAATGTCTTTGGTTCCATATTAGGTAATGCTGGCCTTGTTACATAAGTTGGAAAGTGTTCCCTCTGCTTCTATGTTTTGGAAGAGTTTGAGAAGGATTGGTATAAATTCTTTAAATATTTGGTAGAATTCACCAGTGAAACCATCTGGGTGGTATAGGTGTTTTTCATTATTTTTCTCTCAGTTGATATTTTTAATCTGGAAAGCCATATCCCTTGCATCCTAGAAATTTTTCATGTTTTATTTCTTGAATAATGTTGTTATTTTTATTTTGTCTATTCTGTGTTCTAGAAACCTTTCTAGATAGATATTGGGCTTTCTGAATTTTAAAAAAATCTTTTTCCATTTTAGTAGTTAGGAGTAGTCTCAAAGCATATAGCAGAAAATCCCAAATAATAGTGGCTTCAACAAATACAGGTTTAAAATACAGGAGTAATCATTTGCAGTGTGATGATCATTTTTGTATTTCCTAACTAGCCATGGTCTTGTAATTCTCACCAAATGATTAAGTGTAACTATGCAGATAAAGTGCTTGTGGCCCACCAAGGGGATTGGACAGCTTGCTAATAATATAAGTAAGGTGCATGGCACACTTGTGATTGTGAGACCATGCAAATAAGGTGTATAGAACTCTAGCAACGGGATTGGTCAGTTTTGTCATCCTGCTAGCCTTAAAATGAGCAATCTCAGAGGCAGAAAGGGGGAACCTGATTATCACCAAGAAGAAGAGATGAAAGTGGAGCACAACCTTTGGTCCTGGAGTCTCTGTAGTGGGAACCTCTGAGGTCAAGAGACAGAGAATTAAAACACCAGAGATGGTGAGAGGCAGTGGCAGAGAAATGGCAATGGCAAAGGCAGTAGAGCCAGGAGACCGGCAGGAGATAGCACAGTGGGCTTCCTGGCCCGTGGAGTGATGGAGTTGTTAGTGGTATGGGGTGCCTCCAGATACTTGATAAAGCTAGGCTTATGGACCCACAGAGTGAGAGAGCTCAGTGCTTTCGAGCTGAAGCTTACTGGAAGAGTAGGGTACCTCTCGTACTTACTGGCAGAGATAAAGAGCTTTGTACACTTTCCTGAGCAGGGCAGAGGCCAGGCTGAGTCATGAAGTTCAAGAAGCCTGAGGGACCAAAGGCCAGAGAGACCTACGTACAAGCACAGCTAATAAGAAACTGTCCTTATCAAAGAACTGTATCCTGAGTCATTTCTGATCCTGAATAGTAATTTGTTACTTTCTTGATAAACCCCATAATTATAAGTATTGCTTGTGAGCTTTGTGTGGCCATGGCAACAAATGATCAAATCCAGCAGAGAAGTAGAGAGTGTCGTGGGAGGCATGGTGGTGTCAGAATTGATAAAAAGGTTGGAGACAGGAGGTATGTCTGACTTCTGCTTCATAGGAAATCAGCCTTGGGCTGATGCTCATAATGATTCTTTTTCCTCTTCATGAAGTTAGAGGAGGTCAGAGGCTTCCACCACATCATTGTGACAGCATTCCAGGATTAGTAAGGTAACTCCAGAGTCAACTGGAACTAAGGCACCTTCTTTCTTCTTTGCTATTTTTCTCTGTCCTCAACATGGCTTCATGGCCCTGCATGGGTCCTAGAAGGAATAAAGGATAAATGACAGAAAGGAGTATCCTGGCTATCTGCTTTCCTTTTAAGGAAGAAGTCCCACTTAATCTTTTCCACTTACATCTCATTGGTCATAGATTAGGCATGCCTCGTTGAAAACAAAACTAAGAATGTAGCTTTTAGCATAGTGCTTAAGGCACTTGACTGCTAACCAGAAGGCTAGCGGTTCAAACCCATCAGCTACTCCTCAGAAAGAAGGTTAGGCAATCTACTTATGTAGTGATATCCAAGGAGGGGTTCCTATGAGTCAGGTCCAACTTGATGGCACATAACAACAACAACAACAACATATCGCAACGCTTAGTAAAATTTAGGTCCTGCTAATAGTGAAGAAAAGAAAAAAGAATCTTGGGTAGGCAACTAATTGTTTCTGTTATTTCTCTTATTTTGTATTTTTGGGTGTTTGTTCTACTTTGAGAGTTTTCTCAACTGTGTCTTCTGAGCCTTCTTTTGATTTTTTTATGTTTGTTACCTATCAATATTTACTTTCTATGAGTTTTAAACACAATCTTTTTGTTTCTTTTTAATAAAATCTTGTTCTTGGTGCATGGCTGCAGTATTTTTTTAAGTGATATTTCTTTTATTGTGGTAAGTGTGTGTGTGTGTGTGTGTGTATATATATATCAAAACAATAGTTTTTATCTCTCCAAGTCAATTAGAAGTTGGGCAGACTTGGTTTTGAATGCTAATAACTCTACCACTTACTACCTATGTGACTTTGAGCTGAGGCTTTCAATTTTAAAAAAGGAGAATTAACTTTGTGTTAATTACCTCTATTTTTTTTCATATTATAAAAAGTCTGTATGAACATTATAAGAATCCTGAAAAAAAATAAAAACATCAAAATAAAACTTTAAAAAAGTCATTCAAAACACTCTCTCTTAAACAATTTGGTGTTTTCATTAGTAGCTTTTCATGTTGACCAGTTCATCTTATAAACAGATTACAGGTTTTTAAAAGTAACAGCCCATAAATGAGAAGAGTATCAAAGAGCCAGGCACCTATTAGTCCCTGAGTTACAAATGTACTGGAAGACTGAATGCTGCGTTTAACACGTACGTGCTCAGTACATCTCTCACCTGGAATTGTTTTCTATGTATAGTAACACGATACACTAATATATCTACATACTCAAGCTACTGTGCTTAAAGACACCTATTTTATGATAGGTCTCAGGCTGGGATTATGGAGCATATGCTGTTATGAACAGATTTTTATTTGTTTTTAAAAATAGTGACTTATTAATTTTTTTTTGTTGTTAGTGTATTTATCTGTAATTGCTTTTATATATGCAAAGAGAAAGACTGGTTAAGAACCTAGTAACTGATTTTTTTTTAGTCTAGTGAGGGTACCAGGATAAACCATGAGACTTTGTTACGAATTCAAAAATTAAATGAAATTCATATTTAATGCATTTTTTGATTATACAAATATCTTCAGTTGCACAGTTTTAAACAAATGAGATATATGAAAACAAATACAGAAAAATGTTAAGATATAAGTCTCCCATAATCTCATACCCCAGAGATAGCTACTGTTAGTATTTGATACATTTCTTACAGTCATATATACATTATAAGTGTACTCATATATATTCTCAAAATTGGGATATACTATATAATGTTTTAGGAGCTCTGGTAGCATAATGCCTAAGGCACTTGACTGCTAACCAGAAGGCTGGCAGTTCAAACCCACTAGCCACTCCTCGAAGGAAGGTTGGGCAATCTACTTCCATAGTAATACTACCTCGGAAATCCAAGGAGGGGTCGCTGAGTCAGTTCCGACTAGATGGCACATAACCACAACAACGACAACATGTAATGTTTTATATGCTGCTCTTTCTTCCTACTCACCAATTAATATATGTTTGTATCTTCCCATGTCGTTGAGAATTTGATTTGACCATTTCTCTATCATTGAATATTTAGAGGTCGTTTCTAATTTCTGCCTGTTATAAATAACTTTGAGACAGAGTACATGGTAATAATTTTTGCACATCTGATCATCTGGGATAAATTTGCAGAAGAGAAATAACTGAGTAAGAAGCTGTGACCATTTGACAGGTCCTTGTTAGATATTGATATGTTGAAATGTCTTTTTCTTTCTGATAGGATAATGCATATTTTTTCCCCCCAAGGAACATATGAATGATAAAAATATCATCAAAGCTGTAGAACAGCAGCAACAAGCAGAGGAAGATGAAAAGATTAGAAATTTTATCAAAGCAAAAAAGCGTCTTACACAAATGAGGAACGAAAAAGAAGCTGAAATACAGAGGTAGGTTATATTTTATATAATTAATAAAATACTGTCTGAAATTATTTCATTACAAATCAGAAATTGTAATATGAGAGTGATCTTTAGGAATAGGGTCTCATTGTTTTATTTACGACTAGCACAAGAATGGCCAGACTTTGTCTTACCTACTTTAGTGATGTCAGAAGGGACCATTCTCTGGAGAAGGAGATCATGCTTGGTAAGGCCCTCAACAAGATGGATTGACACAGTGGCTGCAACGATGAACTCGGGTATAGCAGGATTGTGAGGCTGGTGTAGGACTGGACAGTGTTCTGTCTGTTGTACATAGGGTTGCTATGAGTTGGAGCCGACTCAATGACACCTAACAACAACAACAAAGCACATTTAATGACGTGGTTTTAGTTTGGGGAATGTGAATTGAGGTATCTTTGGAATATCCAGGACATCTCTTTGGGTGGGTAGAAATACTGGTCTGCTGTAGGAGAGAAGTGTGAAGTGGAGATGGATTTTGGGGCCATTGGAATATACATAGTAGTGTGGATACATAAGGGCTCACCTAAGGAGAGTAGGTAAGAAAAGTGGCAGAGTCCATAGAGAATGTCAACATTTAAAGGTCAAATGGAGAAACATAATATGAAGATCCAAGAATAGTTTCTGGAGATTGGAGGAAAACCAGAGAAAACATCAAGGGAGGAGAGTTTTAGTAAGAAAGGAGTAACCATAAGTATTAGATCTATAGAGGGATTACATGAAATTTTTAAATGAAGCATCCATCCAATTTAGAGCTCGTGTCTACCTTAGTGAGCAGTTTAGAATCTGGGGTGGGGGGGTTGGATAGAGAGAGGAGTAGATGGCCAGATTGCAGTACACAGATCCAGAGCATACCATTCCCTTGAGCAAAATCCTCTGATGGCTTCACATCGCACTGAAAGTCTTTATAATGGCTCAAAGGTGCTACATCCACCCTAATTCCCAGCCTACCCCAGCCCCATCACTCAGCTGCATCTCTTACTGTTCTCTGCTTCCTTCCCTCTGCTGTACTCACTGGCCTTCTTCCTGGGGAATGTTAACCTCCAGAGAACACAGCTTGCTCCCTTAATTCTCACAGGTCTTTATTCAGTTATTACTTTCTCATTGACCACTTTATTTAATTACATCTCTCTCCATTTTTTATACTTTAACTGCTTGCTTTTTCCTCACTGTATGACATAACACTATATACTTTAATTACTTTGTTTATTGTTTCTCACTATAAAGAAAGCCCCATGGGGGCAGAGACTTTTAACATTTTTGTTTAATTTTTTATCCCTAGCACCTGGAATAGTGTCTGGAACATAGTATACAATCAATATACTGTTTAAAATACTGTTTTTGAAAGCTTAGCTCGTATAACATCTTTTCCATGATGACTTCCTTTCTCTTTTGTTCATCACTTTATAGCTTTCTCATGGCATTAATTACCCTTTGTCTTGTATAGTTATTTGTATAAATGTCCTTTGTCTACTCTAGATTGTAATTTCCTTGGGGACACACACTATGTCCTTTCTCATTTCTCACACATTGGTTTGCACATAACATTCACACATTAAATTGGTGAATTTAAAACTATTTTTTGCCCAGTTTCCTAAATGAAAATGATTCCATTCCTTCAACAAACATGAATTTATTGGTAATGATGTACCAGACACCATGGCTGGCCCTAGACTACAGAGAAGGAACGTAGACAGTCTTGGACCTCAGGAATCTCACAGTGTGTAAAGAGAGACAGATATAAACAGATCAAGTCAGTAAAGTGCTATGAGTAAATTACAGACAGAGTATAGTAAGAGGATAGATATTTATTCAGGATTTTGATAACTTTTATTGGTATTTTCATGGTTTTATTTAAAGAAATACTTTTTTAGCCTAAGTATTTAATATAGTTTTAATAAAGAAATAGTTTCATTTAACAATTACTTTTATAGACTGTTGTTGTTAGGTGGCGTCAAGTCATCTCCGACTCATAGCGACCCTGTGTACAGCAGAACAAAACAGTGTCCAGTCCTGTGCCAGCTCCACAGTCCTTGTTATACCTGAGTCCATGATTGTAGCCACTCTGTCAATCCATCATGTTGAGGGCCTTCCCCTTTTTCATTGGCCTTCTACTTTACCAGGCATGATATCCTTCACCAGGGAATGGTCTCTTCTTACAACATGACCAAAGTAGCTAAGACAAATTCTGGCCATTGTCGCTTCCAAGGAGCATTCTGGCTGCACTTCTTTTTTTTTTTTTTTT